CTGGCAAGACATCAAAACAGTTCCATGTCAGTTAAAGCAGCTTTCAAGAAATAAACACAATACAAAAGTGAACATGTAAGGTCCATTGACAGGTTGACAAGAAATGTACGTTCTCAATTACATTATTTTTACAAGCTTATCATTGTAAGCTTCTTATTTACCTGTTGTTGGTCTGTTTACAGGTGAGACAGTTGATTAATTCACAGAATCAATATATGCTTACACACAACAAAGAGGAGCAAGTAACAACTTTGACTTAGAAAAAACATTTTTTCTATTGGTAGTGTGTGTGTATATATATATATATATATGAACTAAGTAAAATATATCCTAATAAGTAAAGAATAAACATGTGGGGTTAGTAAAATGGTTTAATTCCTTAGCATTATCAGCAAGTAATACAGTTTTTTCAATGAATTTCTGGGATGAACAGTTAGCCTCATTTACATTTGGATTAATATCCTCATCTTTGTTGTTATTCTGTTTTGACCACTGTGCCCTCTGACCTTCTTCAGTTATCTGCCCATTAGGGAATATTTTAAAACTTAATACTTCATGTAATCTATTCCTCTCATTTTCTTTTTAAAAAATTATTTTATTATTTTTTTATTTGAAAGGCATGAAATTCCAAAACCTCGATGCTAGAATTCTGATATCATTTGACAGCTAACAAAGATTACAATAAAAAAAACTAAATAACATTTCATGTGGTCATAAAGCTAACTGTATATTTCCTACATCTATTAGGGTTTGGTGTTCCAGCTCATTTAAATGCCAGTATATTGAAAGCTGATTTTTAATGCCAATATAAACTTTCTACTTTTTCTTTACTTCCATTTTCTCCCACTGTTTATTAGATCTTGCACTTTGTAAAATATCACCGAAAGACTAACTATGATAACAAATGTAGTTGCAAGTTTCATCTCAGTGGCACTTGGTGTTCAAGATCAAGTAAAATCCAGGAAATTGGCAGCTGGTTTTTAAGGAAGACAGGAGATTCCCTGAATTTATTTATTCATATCACCAATCACCTTTAGTTCTTATATTGCCTTCTGCAAAGCTTAGTAAAATTTCAGTAAAAATTTGGTCCTCCTATATGGCATTGAATGTTGGGTTATTTCTTCACAGATGAAGAGGAGAGTTGAAACTACAGAGATGTGATTCTACAGATGGTTGCTGGGAATACCACAAATGGCGCATGTAAGCAATGAAGAAGTGTTAAGGAAAATGGATACAAAAAGGACACCTGCACTTAAAATCATAAACTATCAGTTGACATTTCTAGGACACAGAATGAGGAAACTGGACTTGGAGAATTTAACACTCACAGGACATACTGAAGGTAATAGATGGGGAAAGAAACATTGAATAACCTACATAATGTCTATATAAATGAATGGCAGGCCAAGGATTAAGAAGGATACTAAAGGGACAAATATTATTTAGGGATATAGGAAGTTGTGGAGAGCCATGATCTTCACATAAAAGAAGAATTTCTCTTAAAAATGTAAAAGCCTAATCTTTAGAATTTTTGCTATTCTCTTTCTTGAATATTTTCTTTTCATTCCCTTTGTCTTCTTTGTGTCATGTCTTTTTACACAAGCTTGTCAAGTAGATTATTCACTGTTTTCCTCCGTCCTTCTTGCCTACAATATGCCCTGTGAGAATCAAATTCTCCAAACCTCCTTCCACAATATGTGCCATTGAAATTTTAACTGTTTCTTTATTATTCTAAATATAAGTGTTCTTTTTGTTTCCATTTTCCCCAGAACTTTGTTGTTACTCACATGTTTAGCTCATGGTTTTCTTAACATCTTTTGGTAGAGCCACATTTCTGTTGCCTCAAGTCTCTTCTTCATCTATGAAGAGATTGTCCAGCATTCACCACCATATAGGAGGGGAGATATTACAAAGCAGTTGAGAACTCCTTTCTTTGTATCTAGCAGAATTTTCTTGTTGCTTAATACTTTGCTTAGCTTTTGGAAGGCATCTTTTGCGTTCAGATTTTACTCTTAGAATTATTTATTGTTCTCTTTCTTCAATATTTCCTTTTATTCCTATTCCCAATATCTTCAAAAATGTAAAAGAATTATTTACCGTTCTTCTCCTTATTTCACTCATTTTTTTTGTTCTTTGTCACTCTCAACATCACAGTATTTATTCTATCACTTAGCGAACATATGAAAGGACTTTATTGCATTGTTATAGATAAGCAGTAAATTGCTTCTGCAAAACTCAGGTCAGAATTATGACATATCTTAAGCTGCAACTCTCTCTAACCTAATCATTTCAAATATTTCATTGATTGCCAAGTAGCTGCACTTGGCAAAAGGACAAAGGTAATTTCACCAAATCACAATTGTATTGATTGTTAATCTTGGGAGAAAAAGACTAATATGTCTGTCAACCACATTATTTATTACGTTTTTCTTCTTTTTTCTCTTTCTCTCTCTCTCTCTTTTTGGATTTCTGTAGATTTTTGTCTTATTTATCCATTTCTCACATCTTCAACCTCTTGCTATCAGTCTTCCTAAGTGAACATGTGTGTGTTACTTACACCTATTTCTAAGTTTATTCTTTCATCATCACTGTTTTTTTTCTTTTAATCATTTTCCTCCAAGCAAGGCAATAGTGCCACTAGGATGCAAGAGGTTACTGTGAGTGAAAAAGAATGAGAAGACTTTAGTGAGAAGAAAGAACAATAAAAGAATAGGATCTGAAAAGACAAAAGATGTCATTGTATTTAAATTTTTAAAGATTGTAGGTGACAGGGAAGCAAGAATTTGAAAGGGAGTTTAACAGGCAAGAAAATAAACTATTAAAATACAACATACAGTTGGATCTCATTAGTTCAACAGTAAAATGGTGAGATCTAGTTTTCAATCTAGTAGCACACTTAAATTCATGCAGTCAAGACACCAAGGAGGAAAGCTCATCAGAACAGTAGACATGAACATATTTATAGTAAAGACAGAGGGGAGGCCATATTACATCAGTGAGAAAGTGATTGAAGTCGAGATGCCAGGTCAAGATTGATTATATTACAAATCCTTCTTTGAATTTTGTCAAGAATCTCAAGATATATAGTAGGAGTATCAGAATAGATATGGCAAATATATTCAGTGCATAGATGAAGGGTAGATTTATAAATATGCAAGATGGACTCTGATGAGAAAACTCCCTGGCCTGACACAGTGAACCTGATGTAATGTAATAACCTGTTACCCCCATGAGTGAATACACTATAGGTAGTAATGACCTATAAGTATCTGTAAGTTAATGGACTACAGAGTCTAGCTGATATCTGTTTAGTATGACTCGGACTTAGGCAAGAACTACCAACCTTCTAATTGTAGCACTCACTACTGGATTGACTTGTGATGACCTTGTGCATAACTGTTACCTTTATTGTCATTGTACTGGTTTTTACAATAAACCTTTACTTGTTTTATCCACCGTGTTTCCCAAGTATATATTCCAGAATATAACAGAACCAGCAGTTGATCTAGCAATTGATTCAATATAATCACTCCACTTCATGTCAGTAAAAATTGTAAGCCCAAGAAAGTGCTCTCTTGAAGGTTAGAAGGTAAATAACATTCTTTATGGTGTTTAAATGAAAGCAGTTTTGGTTTGGAGGTGTTACAATTTACAAATCATTCCTTGTGCCAGTTAACTACTGTTGACATCTACATACATAGGTATTTGCTAAGCTTATTTGTCCCAGAATGGCTGAAACTGCTATGTGATATCTATCCTCTGATATAGCAGTGAATTCTTGACCATTTCCTTAGACACAAAGTGACAGATGTCGTTCTACAGAGAGATGCTGAGAATACCATGGACTGAACATGTAAGCAATGAGAAAGTTTTATGAAAAATGGGAACTTAAAAGACACTTGTAATGAGAAAGGAAAAGTTAAGATTTCTGGGTCACGTAATGAGGAAAGAGTGCTTGGAGAATGCAACACCTACAGGTATAATGAAGACAAGAGGAACAGAGGGAAATTGACTAATCTGCTTAAAGTGTTTGTATGAATGGATCGCAGAGAAGGGACAAAGGAAGATGGTAAAAAGTCAAATGATCCTGAGAGCTATGAGGTACAGGAAATTGTAGCCATGATCACACCTGTCCTGAAGAAATGCAGTACATAAACATAGAAGTAAAAGGTTAAATTTACTGCATTGGATGCACGGTGGAGTTATGGATAGCAGCTCGGATTGAGGAATCAGAGAGCCAAGTTCAAATTCCATTCGAATCCATTACATTCATTTATGTGCTAATACTCTTAGGAAAAGTGTGACTCTTCTTCTCCCACCAGCTATGGGTAAATAACAGGACAGACTGGTTTCTATAACCTTGGATGACAACTGGTCTACCACAGAAAGAAATGGCAACCTACTGCGGTAAAAAATCTGCCTCGTCAGTCATCTATCAAAAGATACATGATTGCCTAAGTGTGTATCACTCATGGCACATAACTGACTAACACTAGGAAGAGTCTGTGAGACTAGCTTGTTAACCATTACTTTATACTGCTTAATATCTTTGTATACATATCATCTTCATCAATTTTTAGTGTTTTTCTTTCCATTTTTATCTCTATGTCTATATGTATCTGTTTGTTGTCCCATTTTCCATTTCTCTCTCCCTTTCAAGAATGTATGGATAGTGTAATAACTATCAGTGTAGAAAATAGAATTGGCAGACTGGTTTCAAATTTCACCTGAGTCTGTTGCATGCACTTTGCACTGATGCCTTTGAGAAAAGATATGAATCCATCTCATCTCCCCATAAGTAAGGGTTAACTAGTAGGGTAGACTAGGTTATACAGCTTTGGTTGCCAGCCAATCTCAGAAAAATGCAACTCAAATTCAAAACCATAGAGAAAGCACTGTGGAATCACTTCGCTATCTTTACAGAGAAATAAAAGAAATTTGCAGATAATGAAGAAATAGAATCTTTGTCATAGTATGATTGCTTCCATCCTGAAAACACTATGTACTTTGCCAATCTCTTTCTATCATATGTGCTCTTTCATTTAAATGTATTTTTCTTTTTTTCTTCCTGTCTGTGATCTGCCAACCTTTTTTCCTTTCATTCTATCTACCAGTATGTGCTCTACCAATCAATTTCTATCTATGCATTTGTTTGTTTGTTTGTTTCTTTCTTTCTTTCTTTCTTTCTTTCAGTATTTGCTCTGCTAATCTTCTTTCTTCCTTTCATTCTATTTACAAGTATGTGTTCTGTCAATTTATTCCTTTCTTTCTTTCCATATGTGCTCTGTTAATCTTTCTTTCTTTCTGCATGTCAATCTTTCTTTCTTTCTTTCTATTTGCCGGCATGTGCTCTGTTAATCTTTTTCTTTCAATGTCAATCATTCTTTCTTTTTCTCTCTTTCTTTCTACCAGTATGGACTCTGTCAATCTTTTTTCTTTCTTTCTTCCTTCCTTCCTTTCTATCATCAAGTCCATGCTCTGTCAATCTTTTTCTTTCAATGTCAATCATTCTTTCTTTATACCAGGATAGGTTCTGTCAATCTTTTTTCCTTCTTTTCTTTCTTTCTGTCTGTCTTTCAGCATGTGCTCTGCCAATCTCTTTCTTATCTATAAATGAACATACACAAGTACACATAAATATATAGACAGACAGACAGAAATCTAACATTTTATATAAATATCTTCTTTTTTTTGTCTTTGGTACATACAAGAGGAAATAGGATTAAAGAACATTATACCAACCAGAAAGCTATATTGAATTGCAACATATGAAAACTAAGTTTCATCTAGTAGTGATAAAAAAATCCAATATTTCCTTACTGCTACCTTTGAGATGGAAGTGTTCATTACTGAGAGCAAGTCTTGATCCAATATGAAGCAAGTGACTTGCTACAAGTTGAATGGGGTCACTCTGTTTAGTGCACTAAGCTAGACTATAAGAACCTTTCACTATAATAGCATATTCCAACTCAAGAGCAAAATATGATTTTAGAAAAGAAAGAACAGTAACATATGTAAATAAAATGTATATATTTATTACTATTTAATATTATTCACTGTTTTAAATGCAAAAGAAATGCATACACTATTTCAAATTTTAAGATGCATCTCAATGTTTTCACAGCAAAATTGTTATTATCCAGTTACTTAGATTTATATGAACAATATAGCATGTGAGTTTCAGCCTGTTTTTTCTATTAATGTTTACACCATAAAAGCCCCAAGAGCCACAAGGTTACTGAATGAGATGCACTATGAGCATAAGATGAGACAGTAGGAAGAGAAGATTATGAGAATATTGGGGATAGATAATGACTGACCATAGACTTCTCTCCATTAATCATCTGAGAGACCTCTACCAGCCTGCCATCAGCATGGCTGATGCTAACCTCCTTGAAAGTGACTTGTTGTGCCATCTCAGGCTAACATTCTCAGCTCACATGAAATAGAAAGACTATATTGAATCCATTGCTGGGTTAGCTCCTAAAAAAGGTGGTTCACTGTGTCGTGTGAGACAGTTTTTCTCTCCAGAATCTCTTACATATCTATAAGTCTATAATTCACCCATGCTTAGAATATTGCTGCCAAATATGGTATGGTGCCCCTACTATTTACCTTGAGCTCCTAAATAAATCTAAAGAAGAATCAGCAATATTATTGGACTTGATCTGACAGCTCGGCTTCATTCCCTTTCCCATCACCATAAAGTTGCCTCTCTTTGCCTTTTCTACAAATACTTTTATAGTAATTGTTCAGATGAGTTCTTTGCTATGGTACCTAGACTTTTTGAATTTATGCACTGTACTAGACTGGCATTGAGATCTCATCAATTTACATTTGAGCTGGCTAGATGTAGCCATAAATTCTATGTTAACAGTTTCTTTTCTCACATCAAACTCCATGCTTTCCAGCTAACTTTAATCACCAAAAATTTAAATGCCATATCAATCTAATTTCTAATTCTTTTTTTTTACCAGCAACCTTTACTGCTTTGCTTGGGGTGAAATCCATTAAAAAATTTAAAGGTGTTATGAGTGTAGTGTTTGGGGAAGCATTTATATTGGAGTTTGTTCAACAAAGTAGCAAATTTTGGAAAAAGCCATCTGAGTTGAACTTCCTTCTTACAAATGGAATATAGAGGTAATCAGGATTTGATCTTGTAGATATAGCACGGTGGGTCTTAGCTGTAAAGGTATAAATTGGTAGGATTACTTGGCATATTTTGGAAGGATATTAGCTTGTAATACAGGACCTATACTGGCAACAAACCAACAGGACAGGAAATGAATTCAGTATATAGAAATATATATATATAATTAAAATTATTAAGAACATGTTTTTCAAGTGTAAGGTTGTATTATGCAAACAAAGCGTAACATAAACTTTTATTTAAACATTTTGTATTGCATTGTGAAATGTTCTATTGGCATGTTTGTAATTTTATTTGTTATTAAGTAGAAAATAAAGTTTTGGCATGTTTTAGTATGGTATGTATATGGGTATGTAATTATTTTGGAAATAGGTTTTATTTTGTACAGTTTCTCATAAATTAATCAATGCATATCAGAGATCTACAATGAATAGAAAAATATGGAGTAACTTGAAAATACTGTTACTTGAGAAAGATTTCAATGTATATTTCAGTCTTCTTCTTCTTCTATATTCCATATGGGTGATCATGGTTCTCCACTAGTTAAAAAATTGTACAAATTAATTTAAACTGATTTTTAATTAATCTGAATATACTGGCATCAAATGCATGTTACTTAAAATATATTAGTATTTTCTTTAAATATACATATGCATGGTATTGGAGGTTCAATATTTGATTGGTGGAAGGGAGTGCTCATGGCTTAGGCACCTGATGCTCATTGCACCAGGCAGTGGAAATCTATGTTACACTATTTTTAGTGGGTATTTAGTGACTGTTGCAGTGAGACTGCCTGAAGACTGTGTATGTCCCACTTACCCAGATTTCAATTCCAAACTTTCATGCTGATTTTTGATGCAAGCAGGCTGGATTGGGGCTACACAGTCTTCCATTCTTTATATTTCCTATTTAGATTTCAGGCAAGACTAAACCAAAATTAATATCTACTCAGGTCTTCTGACAGTTTTCCTTTTGTGTGCTATGTTCCTTCAGGATGTGAGCAATCATGGCTCTCCACAACTTCGTATCTTTTGTAACTCTTTTGTTTTTCCCCATCATTTCTAAGTTCATTAGGTAGATTACTTTTTGATTTCTCATGTCCCTCTTGCATCCAGTATGTCCTGTGAGTATCAAATTTTACAAGTCCTCTTTCCTGATTATGTGTCCTAGAAATTTCAACTTTCTCTTTCCAATTTTAAGTATAAGCATCCTTTCTGTCCCCATTTTTGTTAACACTTTCTTATTTTTCTCTTGTTCAGTCCATGATATTCTCAGTATAGTATCCTTCTGTAGAACCACATTTCTCTTGCCTCAAGTCTTTTCGTCATCTGTGAGGAGATTGTTCTACATTCACTACTGTATAGGAGGACTGATTACATCACAGTTTAGCAATCTTTTTGTTTGCTTTGAATTAAATTTTCCTGTTCCTTAATACTTTGCTTGGCTTTTGTGTAAAAATTTATGTGAAAAACCTGCGAACAATACTATTAAGAGATTTTAATGATTGATGTTTTTCATGTTGACTTGGGCCAAAGTCACATTTTTATGTATATATAATCAATAGATATTTATCTTTATTTGTACATGAGGAAAGGGTAGATTTTGGTGTTTTTTGCATCAGAATATTTCATGAAGATCAAAATCAATCAAAATATAAAAAAAAGAGACTTGAAGAAGTTCAATATGTCTGTTTCATAGCATTATATTTGGTGAAGACAAAGGAATTGATTAGAGAAACGTCTTCAAAAGAAACATGATATTCATTCAGCTTTGATTTGTTGAAGTCATCGAGAAAAACAAAACTGAAATATTATGATGGAATTGTTAGTTATTTAAACAAAATTATGCACAGTGTCAATATAGTGATTCCTTTTTGTTTCTCTCTTTCTTTGAAAGTAATAACTAATGATCAAAAGATACGGTAGCCAAAGTTTGGAAAGTGATGCGATTGTGGGAGTGACAACTTTAAACAAAATGGATAATCAAAGAAATATTTTTATTATTACAAGGAAGAATGATTCATATACCTCAAAAAAGTAAATTTATAAGTAAATTGCAAAGGCTTAGAACAACTTTTCTTGAATCATCACCAAACAGAATACATTCTTGTGCCATATTTTTTGTGTCATATTTCCAATGAAGGACTCAGACTGGAAGTTCATAATTTCTTATTTATCTACATACAAGCAGACATTTTTTTTTTTTACTAATTAATTACTTAATATAAGGACCAAGAGTCACTCAAAGAAGATTGTTATCTCTGAAAAAATTCTTACAATCTAAAATTATTTTCTGACTTTAAATAACCTGCAGATGGTTGATAAGCCATAATAAATGAATCAAATTAAATGAAATAAAATCTTCCAGCATAAGCAATAAAAACAGATTTTGTGTTTGTTCACAAATATTTATGAGCAGGAGCCAAAAGAAAGTATGCTCCAAAGTATATATATATATATATATATATATATATATATATATACACACACAACAGTTCAAAAGTTTGAAGCCCCTGCTCCCAGAATTACCATGGGATGAACTTGACAGAAGAGTGAAAATGAAAAAGTGCTCTTAGAGTCATTGAAGAAAAGAATGGAATCAATTACCAAACTTATACTTTGGGAAACTTTTGCAACAAGTGTCAAAAATTTATACTGCAGTAATCAAGCCGAAAGGAAGATATTTTTATGAGAGCAAAATTTAATCATAAAATGCTTTTTTATCTTTTTATCATTATAAAATTTCTAATAACAAACATGTCTCTCCTTTTTTTTTTAACCAAGTATAATAATTTTCTCTTATTTAAAGTACAAAACAACTACTTTTTGGCCCAATTCAGAAAATTACCAGCAGTAACCACAAACTTTTGAAATCTTGTATATATATATGTATATATTTTAGGCATGTCTGATTGAATAAGTTACAGACATATGGCTGTTATTTTTAATAAAATCTATTCATACTCATGAATAACCTTCTGGGTATTGATGTTAAAGTATGAGAGAAATGTGCTATAGCTGTTTAACTTTTTCTTTTATTTTTCATTTCCCAAGTACTTTCGATCTTCTTCCAAGATCATCTTCAGGGGTGCAAGTGGTACAAAACTATATGTTGTTCACACAACTATCTTACACCATGAAAACAACAGATTTAGATTACAGATACTGGAAGCAATTCATATTAAAAAATTAAAGCTGGTACTGGACAGAATCAACTATGAATACTGCAGTAATGTTCTGAAATGCCTGTAAAGGAACAGTTTTTGCATGCTTTAATACATGCATGAACATGACATAACATAAAGAAAAATTCCATAATGGATAATTTTTTCACTTTCTTAATGAGTGTTCAGCACATTGTCAACCATTTTGCATTTAAAA